ATATTGCAAGCCCACTCGAAACGTGAATCACCTAGAAATGAAGAGAGCTGTTCTCTCTGTTCTCCACCTCGTTCTCCTCTTCCTCCCCCCGTCTCCCTCGTTTAATGTCCCCGGAGTGTGACGCGGTCTAAAGCTCTGTTGATACGGAGAGGTGTGTGTGTGTGTAAATCCTTGTTTGCTTGTGTTCCATCATCACTAATGTTCACACACTCCTGCATAGGGGAGCACTCTTGTCTGGTTGTTACTTATGTTCCACAGCATCATCTGCATGACAGCCACAACTGAACTGAACTCTGCTAACTTACATTCACACATGGACAGCCTCAGGTATGTCACACAGTTTTAGCAACAACAGTTTACCTTCTGTTTTTTATTGCACTGTCTTGTTTCTTTTATGAGTTTTCACATAATGAATTTGTACCCTGGTATTTTTACTGTTAGGATTCATGTTCAGGAACTTGATGTAGTTCTAAACAACACCTACCTACCTGGATATGAACATTTCAATCATTGGTTTGGAGCTTCTGGTCAAACTAATTTAGATGGACTGAGGGAACAAGGGATCAACATGCTTCAAATCAACAGAGAACAGTACTATTTTAATATTTTATTATATTTCTCTATGATTTTATATATGCATGATGATGTCATCTCTTTGTTGCTGTGTATTTGTCACACCTACAAAAAGTGTATATTTGTCACACGGAAGAAAAATAGTCTCTGCAGTTAAAAGGAATGACAGAACTGCGGCTAAGGAAGGCATTATTTGGCTTTGACATAAGCATCATGATAATGAGAGCGTGGGCAAAATGCTTCTCTGCATAACCACTCTGTTAATGTATAGGCTAATACATGGTACTTAACGGTACTTACTGTACACCATTTTCACTTTGAATCATACAGGGATTGAAGTTTGTAGTGATGTTGATGGATTTGTACTTTTTGTGGCTATAACAGTTACACAACTTTGTGGAGGAGAAACATTTTAAATAATTTGTTGTGTTGCACCTTTTGTTAAAAAATACCAAATAAATACCTATCCCCAAAACACTTTTTCCCCTCTCAGTTCTCTCTCATGTCTATGTCTGTGTCCTAAATGGCCCCTTGAGGCGCTGGTCAAAAGTAGTGCACTACATAGGGAATAAGGTGCCATTTGGGACATAACCTAGTTCTCTCCTCTCCTCTAAATCCATGTTTATTAAAGCTCTGCTGATTGACAGATGAGGGTAGACAGGCGTAATGTAACAGGGGATGATCTCTCCCTCTACGTCCTTGGGTGTGAATTGGGTTTCACGCTGCCTGGATAACCACCCAAACACCCCTGCCGTCCTGTCCCTTCCCCTGGTGGCCTCTCACACCCCCTCCCTCCTTTCAGCTCGGGCAGGGGTGTGTCTGTGACTGTGTGTTTGTGTAGAGGGGGGGGGGTGATGTGGTAGAGTTAGAAGCAGATTGACAGAGCAGCATGGAGCTCCCCTGCCTCCCCAGTCCACTGTGCCCAAACCCCGACACTCCACCTGATGTTTTAACAAAGGCCTCCATCTCCACCACCGGCAGCACCCCCAACTATGGCCATGGCTCACTCCCAACCCCCAAGCCCCAGCCAGCCCCTACCTGAGCCAGGTCAGCCGTAGCCAGGTCCAACCCTAGCTCCAAGCCTTTAGCCAGGCCCCATCCCGCCAGTGCCTCCCCAACCCTGGAATCAACTAGGTATGAAACCTGATGGCAGCGAGACAAGGAGAGACAGAAGCAGATGCACTGACAGTGGGAGTAGGGCTGGGTCCTCTACGGCTGCTACACATGAGTGAAACACCTACACCCTTTATCACATTTGGGAAAAGCAGTTAGAAACAGCACAAGACGGTCAGCACTATTAGCACTTCATTCATTCAATCTATTTGTTTTGTTTAATCACACACAAATGAAAACTGGAAAAACTGAATAATTAACTACTTGTGTAGGTGAGCTAAAAAGGGCAGAAAACATTTTTACTAAAGCAACTTTTAGTTTGTGAATAAACATTGTTACCGTAACAGATGCTGGACACATGTTAATGACCCACCTAATATCCACTTTTAGACCTATCAAAGTAGTAAAGTCTGCAGCACTGATGTGGAGAATAGGTCAGAGGGAGTTTGATCATTTATCCTACACTGACAATTATGGGTAAGCAATTAGACAGGACAGTAGAATACATTACTAATGAGCAATAGTCTAACGAAGACCACCTCAACTCTCCCATCCATCACAGAGAAATAGCCCTGACTTTCCGATAGGAATGAGAGCAACACACAGAAACACACAGAGCTCGACAGAGCATGCTGTTGCAACGTGGCTCTTGGAGGTGTTCCCCTAGTTTGATGAATTTCCGTCCCCTGCTGTAAGTGTGGCTGCCTCTCCTCCTCTCCTCCTTCCCCCTGTCAACACAATCCCTCTGTCGATCCGTTTGTGAGGCCGGGGCGCGGTGGGGGCCATTCCGCCCCTCGCGGCGTCCTCTGGGCGCTCTCTGGGTCCCCTTTCTCCCCGCCCTGCCTGTCCGCACCCCCTCCCTCCGTCAGCGCCTGTCATCTACTTCCGAAAGCTGGCATGGCCAAGCCGGAAGAGAGAGTGATCGTCCCGTCGCCCCACCACTTTCCCTCTCTTCTTCTTCCTCCTCCTCCTCCAAATAATTTCCTTGGTACTTATCAGTGGCATATTAATGAATCTGCCTTGCCATTCCAATAGGCAGAAACTAACTTCAGAGTGAGAAAGAAGGAGGAAGCTCTCACTCTGGGCTTGCTATGCTGTCCTCACACACTGAGAGAGAGCAGCTTCTTGGCTGTGTCAGAGGAGGATGTTTGGAGCAGCAGAGCAATGCCTCTGCTGTGTGTGTGTGTGCGTGTGTGTTGATCATGTTTGGTGAGAGTTTTCACACTTGAGATATAAATGTAAGCTACTGAGGATATTTCAAAGTCAAGCATGTTTTCACAGGGAAGGGTGTGGGTGTGTGTGTGTAGGAAATGCTGTAAATGTTCAGAGGGTGGCTCATTTATACTCATCTAAAGGACAAAGCACTCAAAACAACTTGAGACCGATACAAATACAAAGCTGAGAATAAGAACAATTTGAAGTAATATAGTTGTGTTTTTGTATTCTTTAACACAACTGCAATTACACTGTCTTTGCAGTTGTCCCCATAAAGCAAAACAACACAATATTGTCTGTAAGCTTGAAGCCGTCCCCTAGAAATATAATGTTGATAAAGTATTATAAAGGTAGGTGATGTCTCTCACAGACTCTGCCTGCCTAGCACCCCCTTTAATCAATGAAAGCATTTTCCAGGCCTCCCGAGAGTGTGGAGCAGACAATAAATATTGGCAGAAAAGAAAAATGTGTTGTTCTCCCGAATCGAGGGGCACATAATGATATTCACAAGGAGACCACCTGCAGAGACAGAAGGCAAACTGTTCCTAAGCAACAAAACACATTTTCTTTCTGAACGCCAATGAGGCAAGGTTTTCTGGGGGGAAATTTCCCCACCAAATTAAGGCCTCGGCTCATGGTGTGTGTGTGTGTGTGTGTGTGTGTGTGTCTGTCTGTGTGTGAAAGAGACATCCCTCCATGGCTTAAGGGGCTTTGAGGAACAGTGACCAGCATCACACAGTGGATTCCGTCCACCTGCAGCTCAGCATATTGACCGGACCCTGTGATACAGTAAGCTATACCTGCTTAAATTGGGTAATGTGCTGTAATGTGCTGAATTGCTTTATGGTAAAGATGAATTTATCTAATTATGATTAAACATATACATACAAATAATATATAATGTCTGGTGTATAATTGTTATTATTGGTAAAGCCAAAAAACTACATTATCACAATTAGCCCATAGCTGAGGCAAGGCTGCCATCTAGTGTTATAATGCTGCCATTCAAAAGGAGTACAGACTGACCCCTGTTGGATGATATTGGACATGACACCAGTCCCCATTATGAAGGACGCATCTCAATAGTCTTTTGTGGCTTCCTCTTCTCTCCTAGTCTTCTCTCCTTCAACTGTATGGATCAGAATAGCTGAAAAGCAATATGCAATGTTCGGTCGATGTCAACCACTATATTCACCTGTGAAGGTAGGGACCGTCATTGTCAGTTCAGATGACCAAAGGGAGACTAGAAGAGGGAAATGTAGCCTAACTGTCAAGAATCTGTATTACTTTTCCCCCGAATAAATTAAGTACATCTTAATTAGTTTGAGGGAAAAATTAAGTAAAAGTCCAAGTAAAATGCATGTTGTTACCTCAGATCTATAGTTTGATTTATGCCTACATATCAGAAAGGAAAATATAGAAACACAGCTTGAAATTGTGTTGCTGTGGCTCGCGCTACAATGTTCTCAAACAAAGTGATTTCCCAGTGTGGTGATTAAGCATGTACAATGAAATAATTTGGTGTTTCAGTCCAACTAATTATGTACACTTAGAGCTGCGAGTGGAAACACGAGAGTGACGCAATTAGCTGCCATTTTTAACATTTATCCTTTGAAATCACAAGCCAAATCAAAGTCATTATGACCCGACTGGATCTACTTTCTAGTTATCAAGCACACCCAAGTTCATTACGCAAATTAACATGTTAATTAGCTGTTGGCTTCAGTCAGGCTTTCATCATGTTCTCAGGGCTTTTAAGTAATGGTCTGCAGAAAACAACACAAAGCTGTGTGTTAATAAAACAGGGCAGGGAATGACACAATTTACTAATCAAGCTTATCAAAGTCACAGCATGAAATGGGGGGCCACTTAAAATGTTATGGCTGAAATACTGTCTGCACCCAAACTCAAGAGAGCCCTCCCAGTTCAGTTAACAAAATATGACTTTTGATGTAAACTCACTCTAAGTTTAAATGTTATGAGTTGAACATCATGGCTTAATTGCATCAACTGTTACAATTGTGTTGTAATCACGTTATTGGCTAAATAATATAAAAAAGCGACAATGTAAATGTATAATAATCTAAATAGAAACTGTTCTTGTGAGAAAAGGCTTTTACTAAATCACTTTTAAATATTCTGAATTGTAGATGGTACTGATATGAGGTTATAAGTCTTGAAGACAAGTCACGTTTCACTCCACTTGGGGGTTGCTCTTGAAGAGGTATTCTGCCTGAAATACAAAACACAGAATGCAACATTTAAATATATTTTACAAAGTCCCATTCCATAATAAATATATTTAGTCGCTGTCGGATGAAAACCTCGTAATTATTTTTGAAAACCTCGTAACTATTTTTGCCAATTGTCTTTTTTCCTAAACATGCATTGAAATATGGCCATTTCTTCCATATCAAGCTATGCTATGAACATCACTTTGATTTGAGGATGTATTGGTAACTTTGGAAATATTTTGTATGAGGATTTGTTCAACAAATAATGCTTTAGTATGCGGTTGTTTTTCACTACTAAACATAGTTTAATGCACTACATAGTTTAATGCACTGACTGTAATTCACTCTGGATAAGACTGTCTGCTAAATGACTGAAATATATATTTTGTATCTATAATGTGGTCTTACCAGGAAATCAACAGGGTCCTGAGGCCTGGTCTTGCAGCACTCGATGAGGCCCTGGGTGAGAGTGGGCATGACGTTCTTCATCAGATAATTTCTCAAGGGAACAGACTGGGCCTCCAGGAGATCATGCTCCTGTTTCTTCACCTCCTCCAGACACTTACTCTGAGACACAGACAGAAACATTAAAGGGCAACTCCACCACTTTTCAACCAAATTGTTTTTATCGCCAACACAATACCAGTGTCAACATATGTGAAAACTGGTAGGTTTTGTAGAAAAATATATAATGTTAAAAAGTTCTACCCGATGACATCATCAAAAGTTACAACATTTTAAAAAACAGTGATTTTCAAACACTATGAGATTCATGGTGATGTGGGGAGCAAGAAAATAACCTCCCTTGGATAGAAATGTGCTGCAGGTTTTGAAAATCATAGTTTTTTACTTTTAATCCTACCCTGTGATGTCACAGAGAAGCTTTTTTTTAAAGACCTTGCTTCTTATCTTTTTAGCCTCAGATCATAGAAACACGCTGTTTTTACAAATGTAGACACTGGTTTGGTGCTGGAGATGATGAATATGAGGTGGAAAAGTGGCAGAATTGTCCTTTAACATACAGTAAGAGGACTGCTACTAAACACACCATCACAGGGCTGTATTGAATAAACAAAATATGACAATTATGAGAGATGTGTGTGTTTACATTTTTTGGTACCTACCCCTCAATCACTTCCTTCAAGAAAGCTACAGGTAAGAGGAAGAGTGGGTAAGTTCTAACCTCTCTTATACCCCGCCTCTTGTACTCACCCACTCCTCCCAGCGGGCTGCTCTCTGCTGGGCCTCCTGTGTCTCCCTCCTCTCTGTGTCAGCCCTCTTCTGGGCCTCCTTTCTCAGCCGGCGGCCTGCGCTCCTCCTCTCCTCCTCCTCCAGCTCCTGGCTGGTGGGGCCGTAGTTCTTAGGCTTCCCCACTGACTTGATGATCCTCTCTGTCACCACCAGGTACTCCTGGTCATCACTGCTGGTGATCTCTGACAATGATCCCAAAATAACACAAATTACTACTTTAGATACACTGAGTAGGTAGTAGTCAGTAAAATCACGCTGTATTGTACCTGAATTAATAGATGAATAGTAGAATAGAATATAATTAAATAGAAAAGTACTTTATAGCCAACACAGAGATGGACAATATGGAGATCTACTTATGACGTAGTGGTATGCCAAGTGGTACATTTCTATGGGTACAACGCTAAACTATTTGATAAGTTAGTTCCCTCAGTATTTACCAATGTGCTCCGGGTGAATATCCAGCTCGTCAAAGTAGTTGAGGACGGTCTCGTCCTCCACGCTGCTCTCCCGGAACCTGGCAAGGCGACGCACGAACTGCTCCTGAGAATAGGACGTTCCCTCCACCAGGCTCTCCGGGAGGTTCAGGACACGGTTCTTCAGGAACGCATCGGAGGTGTCCAGGGAGAACACAAACTCTAGAACCAAGAGAGAACACAACTTAAGAAAAGCACTAATCTCCAATGGAGAAACGCAATCTCTTACGCAATATTTTGGTCTGGGTTTCCTAGATTAGAAAAGCACTGAAGATATACTGTTCTGAAAGATCTCAAAAGACAGGGTCAGCTCTGTAACTACTATGAAATAATGGTGACCACTGTGTCTGTGACTACTTGGCTTGGTATTCACGATCATCGTGTAATAAACAAAAAGGCAAACGTATTTGTGTTTTCCATCTTGGACAGACCTGGAATGATCTTCTTGTTGAATGGAGGGATCTTTGACCTCATATCCTCTGGCTCATCATCATCAGCTAAACAACAAATAAGACAGATTTTGGTTACTGAGCTGAAACTATAAATTGTATGTCTCCCTATTCCCTATATAGTGCACTACTTTTGACTAGGGCCCAAAGGGAATAGGTTTCCTGGTCAAAAGTAGTGCACTATATAGGGAATAAGGTACTATTTGGGATGCAGCCATTGTAACATACTTCCAGTAGTCAGGATACATTTCTGTCTCACCATAGAACAGATCCTTGGCCTGTTCATATGTCTTGGGAAAGCCGTCCAGGACAAAACCCTGGTTCCTGCACAGCTTTGACTTCAGCTTGTCTCTCATGATCCTGATCACATACTGGTCATCCAGTCGACCTTGGAGAATAGAACAGGATAGAATAGACAGAGAAAACATGTCTTGCACTGACTATATCATCTTGATGGCCAAAACAACAAATTACGTCATTCTGTACCTCCATTCTGATCCATGTTCTCCTTCAGAGTCTCCAGGAGTTCTGATGAGGTGGCAGAATCCTCTGCCTCAGTCTCTCCGTCCTCCATCCTAATGATAGACTCCTGAAATGAAGGAGAGTTAGTCTCTGCAGCTTGGATCTCATTTAAAAGGCACACATTCGTATGGAGCACCTGGATCGTTAGGCTGCCTCCCAAATGGCATTGTATTCCCTTTATAGTGCACTACTTTTGACCAGAGGCCTATGAGGCCTATGGGCTCTGGTCAAAAGTAGTGCACACCATAGGGAACAGAGGGCCATTTGGGACATAGCCCTGGTTTGTTAGTCTTTGTTTGTTGGATGGAAACTGACAAGGTCTGCGAGGGTCTCAGTGATGGTTTCTTTGAGTCTGATGTGGTGCAGTTTGTAGTGTTTACAGATCCTCTCTGCTACTGTGCTCTTTCCCACTGCTGGAGGGCCCAGGATACACACTCGGATGGGCTAGGGAAAAGACCACATTTACTATACACATAAAGTAACTTACAGTACATACCACATAACTTCTTCAGTCAAATGCAATGTGTTTTCACATGAAATCATTTCAGCAACCCACACACAGAATTTAGTCTGATCTAGTTGAAACATACACACTGTCATGCAACAATATGCACTCGTTCAATACAAGATTGTCTTTGTTCACTCTTAAACGATAGAGTGGGCTGCTAGCCTGCTACAGCTGCTGACTAACTTACCAGCAGGCCCCTGGTTTTCTTGTATTCCTCAACAACACGGTCGATGTTGTCTATGAGACCAGACTCACACACCCAGTGGATGTTGAAGTTCTCTTTCAGGTAGACAGCCTCAACCCGAAGGTTGACAAACAGAGCATCGATGTCCATTTGCTGAGGAAAAATAAAAATAAATGACCAGATGTAATTATTTGCTTCTTGAATACATTTAGTGATGAACAGTAGACCATGGTAATAAAACTGCCATCTAAACCTTGTACTCACCTTCTACTCTATGTGAAGCATATTGTAACGTCTGAATCAAATGTATTATGAATAAAGTTTGATTTGATCTTCATATACGTACTCTCAAGTCCCGAGTGAGAAAAGCGTCCTCTTTTGGCACTCTCTTGGTCTTTCCTGGCCCCACCACATAGGCTATTGTCTGGTGATGAAAAAATAATAACTAAAATAATCCTTAACGCACTATTTTGGATGACTGAACGTATAGAGTTGAATTTCCAATGATCAAACATAGTTGCTTTACATACCTTTACAATGTCATCGATAGTGGTCTTGGAATCATCCACAGCGACTAAGTAGTGTGGTTTTGGCTTGTGGTCAATTACATTCTGGATCACACTTCAGGAGAGAAAAAAATTGTCTGGTCAATAGATACAGTGCCTAGTGAAAGCCTACACACCCCTTGCACAGTCTTCACATTGCTGCCTTAAAATTACATCTAAAAAGGGATTAGATAGGATTTATTTTCCTACAGATCTACACAACCTACTCCATATTTTCCAAGTGAAAGAAAGTTAAAGAACAGAAGAAAGTTAGGGCAACATACAGTGCCTTCGGAGAGTTTTCAGACCCCTTGACTTTTTCCACTTTTTTAGGTTACAGCCTTATTCTAAAATTGTGATTACAGCCTCGAGTCTTCTTGGGTATGACGCTACAAGCTTGGCACACCTGTATTTGAGGTGTTTCTCCCATTCTTCTCTGCAGATCCTCTCAAGTTCTGTCAGGTTGGATGGGGAGCATTTCTGCACAGTTATTTTCAGGTCTCTCCAGAGATGTTTGATCGTGTTCAAGTCCTGGCTCTGGCTGGGCCACTCAAGGACATTCAGGGACTTGTCCCGAAGCCACTCATGCATTGTCTTGGCTGTGTGCTTAGGGTCGTTGTCCTGTTGGAAGGTGAACATTCGCTCCAGTCTGAGGTCTTGAGCGCTCTGGAACAGGTTTTCATCAAGGATCTCTCTGTACTTTGCTCCGTTCATCTTTGCCTCGATCCTGACTAGTCTCCCAGTCCCTGCCGCTGAAAAACATCCCCACAGCATGATGCTGCCACCACCATGCTTCACCGTAGGAATGGTGCCAGGTTTCCTCCAGATGTGACGCTTGGAATTTAGGCCAAAGAGTTCAATCTTGGTTTCATCAGACCAGAGAATATTGTTTCTCTGAGAGTCTTTAGGTACCTTTTGGCAAACTCCAAGCGAGCTGTCATGTGCCTTTTACTGAGGAGTGGCTTCCGTATGGCCACTCTACCATAAAGGCCTGATTCATGGAGTGCTGCAGAGATGGTTGTCCTTCTGGAAGGTTCTCCCATCTCCACAGAGGAACAGGACAATGACCCAAAACACACCTCCAGGCTGTGTAAGGGCTATTTGACCAAGAAGGAGAGTGATGGAGTGCTGCATCAGAAGACCTGGCCTCCACAATCACCCGACCTCAACCCAATTGAGATGGTTTGGGATGAGTTGGACCGCAGAGTGAAGGAAAAGTAGCCAACAAGTGCTCAGCATATGTGGGAACTCCTTCAAGACTGTTGGAAAAGCATTCCAGGTGAAGCTGGTTGAGAGAATGCCAAGCGTGTGCAAAGCTGTCATCAAGGCAAAGGGTGGCTACTTTGAAGAATCTCAAATATAAAATATATTTTGATTTGTTTAACAATTTTTTGGTTACTACATGATTCAATATGTGTTATTTCATAGTTGTGATGTCTTCACTATTATTGTACAATATAGAAAATAGTAAAAATAAAGAAAAACCCTTGAATGAGTAGGTGTGTCCAAACTGCTACTGTATATATATGTATATATATATATATACATATATATATATATATATATATATATATATATATATATATATATATATATATACACTGCTCAAAAAAATTAAGGGAACACTAAAATAACACATCCTAGATCTGAATGAATGAAATAATCTTATTAAATACTTTTTTCTTTACATAGTTGAATGTGCTGACAACAAAATCACACACAAATTATCAATGGAAATCAAATGTATCAACCCATGGAGGTCTGGATTTGGAGTCACCCTCAAAATTAAAGTGGAAAACCACACTACAGGCTGATCCAACTTTGATGTAATGTCCTTAAAACAAGTCAAAATGAGGCTAGGTAGTGTGTGTGGCCTCCACGTGCCTGTATGACCTCCCTACAACGCCTGGGCATGCTCCTGATGAGGTGGCGGATGGTCTCCTGAGGGATCTCCTCCCAGACCTGGACTAAAGCATCCGCCAACTCCTGGACAGTCTGTGGTGCAACGTGGCGTTGGTGGATGGAGCGAGACATGATGTCCCAGATGTGCTCAATTGGATTCAGGTCTGGGGAACGGGCGGGCCAGTCCATAGCATCAATGCCTTCCTCTTGCAGGAACTGCTGACACACTCCAGCCACATGAGGTCTAGCATTGTCTTGCATTAGGAGGAACCCAGGGCCAACCGCACCAGCATATGGTCTCACAAGGGGTCTGAGGATCTCATCTCGGTACCTAATGGCAGTCAGGCTACCTCTGGCGAGCACATGGAGGGCTGTGCGGCCCCCCAATGAAATGCCACCCCACACCATGACTGACCCACCGCCAAACCGGTCATGCTGGAGGGTGTTGCAGGCAGCAGAACGCTCTCCACGGCGTCTCCAGACTCTGTCACGTCTGTTACATGTGCTCAGTGTGAACCTGCTTTCATCTGTGAAGAGCACAGGGCGCCAGTGGCGAATTTGCCAATCTTGGTGTTCTCTGGCAAATGCCAAACGTCCTGCACGGTGTTGGGCTGTAAGCACAACCCCCACCTGTGGATGTCGGGCCCTCATACCACCCTCATGGAGTCTGTTTCTGACCGTTTGAGCAGACACATGCACATTTGTGGCCTGCTGGAGGTCATTTTGCAGGGCTCTGGCAGTGCTCCTCCTGCTCCTCCTTGCACAAAGGCGGAGGTAGCAGTCCTGCTGCTGGGTTGTTCCCCTCCTACGGCCTCCTCCACGTCTCCTGATGTACCGGCCTGTCTCCTGGTAGCGCCTCCATGCTCTGGACACTACGCTGACAGACACAGCAAACCTTCTTGCCACAGCTCGCATTGATGTGCCATCCTGGATGAGCTGCACTACCTGAGCCACTTGTGTGGGTTGTAGACTCCGTCTCATGCTACCACTAGAGTGAAAGCACCGCCAGCATTCAAAAGTGACCAAAACATCAGCCAGGAAGCATAGGAACTGAGAAGTGGTCTGTGGTCACCACCTGCAAACCAGTCCTTTATTGGGGGTGTCTTGCTAATTGCCTATAATTTCCACCTGTTGTCTATTCCATTTGCACAACAGCATGTGAAATGTATTGTCAATCAGTGTTGCTTCCTAAGTGGACAGTTTGATTTCACAGAAATGTGATTGACTTGGAGTTACATTGTGTTGTTTAAGTGTTCCCTTTATTTTTTTGAGCAGTGTATATACAGTGAGGGAAAAAAAGTATTTGATCCCTTGCTGATTTTGTATGTTTTCCCACTGACAAAGACATGATCAGTCTATAATTTTAATGGTAGGTTTATTTGAATAGTGAGAGACAGAATAACAACAACAAAATCCAGAAAAACACATGTCAAAAATGTTATAAATTGATTTGCATTTTAATGAGGGAAATAAGTATTTGACCCCTCTGCAAAACATGACTTAGTACTTCAGATGTTTCTTGTAGTTGGCCACCAGGTTTGCACACATCTCAGGAGGGATTTTGTCCCACTCCTCTTTGCAGATCTTCTCCAAGTCATTAAGATTTCGAGGCTGACATTTGGCAACTCGAACCTTCAGCTCCATCCACAGAATTTCTATGGGATTAAGGTCTGGAGAGTGGCTAGGCCACTCCAGGACCTTAATGTGCTTCTTCTTGAGCCACTCCTTTGTTGCCTTGGCCGTGTGTTTTGGGTCATCGTCATGCTGGAATACCCATCCACGACCCATTTTCAATGCCCTGGCTGAGGGAAGGAGGTTCTCACCCAAGATTTGACGGTACATGGCCCCGTCCATCGTCCCTTTGATGCAGTGAAGTTGTCCTGTCCCCTTAGCAGAAACCCCCCCCCAAAGCATAATGTTTCCACCTCCATGCTTGACGGTGGGGATGGTGTTATTGGGGTCATAGGCAGCATTCCTCCTCCTCCAAACACGGCGAGTTGAGTTGATGCCAAAGAGCTCGATTTTGGTCTCATCTGAACACTTTCACCCAGTTCTCCTCTGAATCATTCAGATGTTCATTGGCAAACATCAGATGGGCCTGTATATGTGCTTTCTTGAGCAGGGGGACCTTGCGGGCACTGCAGGATTTCAGTCCTTCACGGCGTAGTGTGTTACCAATTGTTTTCCTGGTGACTATGGTCCCAGCTGCCTTGAGATCATTGACAAGATCCTCCTGTGTAGTTCTGGGCTGATTCCTCACCATTCTCATGATCATTGCAACTCCACGAGGTGAGATCTTGCATGGAGCCCCAGGCCGAGGGAGATTGACAGTTATTTTGTGTTTCTTCCATTTGCGAATAATCACACCAACTGTTGTCACCTTCTCACCAAGCTGCTTGGCGATGGTCTTGTAGCCCATTCCAGCCTTGTGTAGGTCTACAATCTTGTCCCTGACATCCTTGGAGAGCTCTTTGGTCTTGGCCATGGTGGAGAGTTTGGAATCTGATTGATTGATTTCTTCTGTGGACAGGTGTCTTTTATACAGGTAACAAACTGAGATTAGGAGCACTCTCTTTAAGAGTGTGCTCCTAATCTCAGCTCGTTACCTGTATAAAAGACACCTGGGAGCCAGAAATCTTTCTGATTGAGAGGGGGTCAAATAGTTATTTCCCTCATTAAAATGCAAATCAATTTATAACATTTTTGACATGCGTTTTTCTGAATTTTTTGTTGTTATTCTGTCTCTCACTGTTCAAATAAATATACCATTAAAATTATAGATTGATCATTTCTTTGTCAGTGGGCAAACGTACAAAATCAGCAGGGGATCAAATACTTTTTTCCCTCACTGTATATATATATATATAGTTCATGTCTTTGCCATGTTGTCTTGCAATATTACTTAAAGGCCTTGTTGCAAACAGAATGGATGATTTGGAGTGGATTTTTCTGGAACACAGGCTTCCTTTTTTTCAGTAATGTGGAGTGAATGCAATGTTGTTGATCCCTTTGTATTTTCAAGTATTGTCATGGCCGCATTAGGGCTGTGGCGGTCATGAAATTTTGTCAGCTGGTGATTGTCATGCAAATAACTGCCGGTCTCACAGTAATTGACCGTTAATTAACATAAACACATTTAGCATCTCTTGGCTTCCACGCATAGCATACAAGCCACTGATGCAGACCTTTGGAACATCTACATTTTAGTCTAATAAATCCATGTAATATAGCCTACACCTTCACAATAAATCCATTATTTATTTTAGACAGGTCTAAAGAAACATGATATGAAGAAAATGTAGTCTATTTCAGAAGAACGGAATAGCATACTCTGAGTTGTCCTCATGTTAGGCCCTGATCTGGCTATGCCATATGGCTGTGGGCTACACTAGTTCATTTAGCAGGCAAGATTTGTTTAGAAATCCGTGGCATTATTTTATATTATTTCATAGTATGAAGAATACAATCGAATATAGCTGAATAAAATAGAAAGGATATTTTCTCCAAACGATTTGAGGGAGTGCGCACATGCGACTATTCTGTGTTGAGCTGTTAACAAAGAAACAGGTCCTCCTATATGCTTAATTTAGAGTTATTTATGCAACTTTAGTTGTGATACAAACGTTGGGCTATATGTTTTGGTTTTTAATACATTCTAAGGCTGCATTTCATTTGAAAAAAGTAGCATGAAAGGCATGAGCTCTGCTTTGTTTTTTGCGCAGGCTGCACACACTTCCTCAGTCTCTCATTCACAATTTGACAAGCACTTGATAATACCTTGAATTTCCCGGCAGCATCCCCTTTGTGTGACCTTAATGCCCCAAATAAAAATCCATGCCTTTTGCGGCCAGTGACCGTTGTGCGCTTGGGCTGAATATAATAATTATAATTCCCTTCTCCCGGCTGCGTCCTCCAAAGCACCTCTCACTCACATGGCTCTCTCAGATATCTCAATTCTTATTAGCCAATGCCCGTCAGGTGATCGGGTCCTTCTCACAGGCTACAAGTGAAGACAGACACAGCGGGGACGGAATTGCGTGCGTTGAATTCCAAGGCATATATTGAAGATGTTGGAAGAACTGTCCACATTTACTTTTCGTCAACCAACAAGATGAGTAGGCCTAACGAACAGCACAAGCACTAGCATATTGAAGATATTGGAAGAACTGTCCACATTTACTTTTCATCAACCAACAAGATGGGTAGGCCTAACGAACAGCACAAGCACTAGCATATTGAAGATATTGGAAGAACTGTCCACATTTACTTTTCATCAGCCAACAAGATGAGTAGGCCTTATGAACAGCAAAAGCACTAGCATATTGAAGATATTGGAAGAACTGTCCACATTTACTTTTCGTCAGCCAACAAGATGAGTAGGCCTAACGAACAGCACAAGCACTAGCCTATGTCAATCTACTATCCCCCATAGTACAAAAGTTCACCTATATTCTATTCTGTGCGAGAAATAAATATTCTAAACATAGTCTGGCCAGTTGTGGGATGCGATCTATCCCAAATTAATACAACGACTAGCTTCAAAAAAACTTTTAAAAGCAATGAGGCTGACGCAACAGATCAGACGTTTAGCTTAAAATGTTGATAAACTATTACGCTATTTCTTCACATTATAAGCATAGGAATGTGACACGGCAGTAGACTATAAGCGCAAATGTTCTAAAATGCATTAAATTACACCATTCTCAAAAGTGACCACAAATGTGATTATGCATGTAATGCTTTTATTAAAAATGTGCATTTTTATGGTGAAAATTATCTTCCCCAAACTTGAAACTCACGCGCTGCGTGTGTATGCCAGTTAGGCTCTACACCCATTAATGTGCTTAATTTTAAGAAGTTATTTGGCCACTTTAGTTGTGATACAAACCTTATCAAAACATATAGGCCTATGGGCTAGGCTACATGAGGTGTGCGAATATGATTTCAAAAAAGTCGCTAAAAAAAGGCATTCGCTGTTTCTTGCCTCACAAGCTGGGCATCATTCACAAGTGATAATATATAATTCACAAGTGATAGGCTAATATTGTCACCCATCAGACTATTCTCGATTTAATCTTGTCTTTACAAATACTAAATAACATTTTTACATTTTACATTCTAGTCATTTAGCAGATGCTCTTATCCAGAGCGACTTACAGTTAGTGAGTGCATACATTTTTTTTCTTCATACATGTGACATTCTTTTTATTTAGTGGACCATTATCATGCACCTGTCTCGAAACAGAGGCAGGGGAAAAATACATGTCATCTATGCACTTAAATAGTGAATGGAGGACGCTTTTCCTGTGGTTCATTTTTATGCCAGCCAGGTAGGCTATACTCCTGTTGTAAAGAGAAGCAATGTGCTTCATATTAGGAAAGTTGAGAAATAAATACAGTAGGCCTAGCTTATAGAAAGCTGATGGGATCCTCCTCTTTTTAATAGAGGCCATCAAAACTCTGCATAGCCTACAGAAATGTTGCCCAACATGAGGTCATGGGCTCTCATGAAATGTTTGATTACATTTTCAATACATTTGCATTGATGTCAGAGTGATTAGAGGGACAATAGAGTGCTGAGCACCAGGCAGTTAGCAAGTTTGGTAGACTACTAATGACCATTAGCAGCATCAGAGCTTGGAGAAGTCTAATTACCATGACTAAATGGTCATGTGGAATTTGATTGCCGTCATGACTCGTGACCGCCGGTGTGGTGGTAATACGGTCACCGTAACAGCCCTAGGCAGCATCATGCTTGTCACCGGCAGGGACTGGGGAGTTTGTTAGGATCAAAAGACATATAAAAGGAGCGAAGCCCAGGTAAAAAGTTTGCAGAAAATCTGCCTCAGTCTTCTGAAACCCCTGAGACAATTTCACACATTTTTATGCAAAAGACACACCAGAATGGCTTTCCAAGAGGTGTTGAGCGTTCTTGAATGATCCAGTCTCCATCCTGACTTAAATCTGCTTTTAAAAATCAGAGACAAGGTTTGAATATTGCTGTCCATCAATGATTCCCAACAAAATTTACTGAGCTTGAGCAATTTTGACAAAAACAATGGATATACAGTATCTTGCCCTAAGAGTTGTGCAAGGTTGGTAGAATCTTATAAAAAATGATTTAACAGCTGTAATGACTGCCAAAGGTGCTTCCACCAAGTATTAACTCTGGGATGTAAAGACATACGCAATCAATACATCCTAATTTCTGTATTTCTTAGTAATTTTCTTTCACTTGGGGAGTAGGTTGTATAAATCAATAGGGGAAAACATCTAATTTAATCCCTTTTGAGATTTTATTTGATTAAAGTAGCAAAAATGTGAAGACTGTGCAAGGGGTGTGTAGACTTTCACTAGTGACTGTACATAAAGACAGGCCTATTTCATGTTTCGAAGGAAAATAAGAATAGGACTCACCCTGCAAGGTCATTGATGTGAATAGTAGGAATGACATTGGTGCCTTCTCCAAAGATAGGGACTTTGGGCAAGTCTCCCAACCAAGATGTCTAATGAAAAAGGAACCACACAAGACAACTTACAGTACATTCAATGATCCCCTATATGAATATCTCCTCCCCTTCATCTACACTGATTGAGGTGGATTTAACAAGTGACATCAATAACATATCATAGCTTTCACCTGAATTCACCTGGTCAGTCTATATCATGGAAAGAGCAGGTGTTCTTAATGTTTTGTACACTCAGTATAGGTAACAATAATCAATCAATGTTATGATCTACCTTGAAGAAGAAGTGGAAGACTTGCTCTCCCATTCCATACTGAACTCCTGAGGCCACTACGTATGTGGAGAACAATGAACTTTTCTATAGCGAAAGAAAAACCTTGGAATGAGCAGGTTGAAAAGAATGTTATGCATTGGTACACACTTTTAATAACACAATAAACTGACAAAGAATATGCAGATTAACCGTTTTGCCCATTTTGACCACAAGTTTCTCAACGTTGATATGCTCTTTGAAGTTGGGATGGGCTCTTCTTCTCCTGTAGTCTTCCTCGGTGAATGGAATCTCAGGGTCATCCTGAAAAAGTAACAGCAAACATCATACATTCAAAACAACTTCCAGTGAACAAGTCTTGGTTGAAACAGTTCAAGTGCTCTATGATACAATACTTTGTAAACACACATGGATCATTTTAGATATTGTAGCGAGTTCAGGGGTGGCTCTAACCGGGACATGAACCAGGTCCAGCGACTGTCAACCCAACACCATAGCCGCTTCGCTAAGAGATCCGAAACCTCTTGACAAGGTTGCTAGGTGTACCAGTCTCTTTAGCTAACGTTCAACTCCTTGCCACTCCTTCTCATTGCCAAAGAGACTGTCCTTTCAGCAATCTCAACGTTCAATATGCAGCCAGATTTACGGCGCAGTTGCTGATTGGTAGCTGGAAAAAACATACACATTTTCCATGACAATGTTCTGGAACATGGGGTGCGCACAAATTTGGCACAACATAAAAATTACAATATTTACAAACAACAAACAATACCATTACGACCTGCTGCGATAATTCAGTTTGTGAGAAGGCAGTGCTAACGCAAGATCATGTTGTTCAAAGTACAGTGGGGAAAAAAAGTATTTAGTCAGCCACCAATTGTGCAAGTTCTCCCACTTAAAAAGATGAGAGAGGCCTGTAATTTTCATCATAGGTACACGTCAACTATGACAGACAAATGGAGAAAAAAAAATCAGGAAAATCACATTGTAGGATTTTTAATGAATTTCTTTGCAAATTATGGTGGAAAATAAGTATTTGGTCACCTACAAACAAGCAAGATTTCTGGCTCTCACAGACCTGTAACTTCTTCTTTAAGAGGCTCCTCTGTCCTCCACTCGTTACCTGTATTAATGGCACCTGTTTGAACTTGTTATCAGTATAAAAGACACCTGTCCACAACCTCAAACAGTCACACTCCAAACTCCACTATGGCCAAGACCAAAGAGCTGTCAAAGGACACCAGAAACAAAATTGTAGACCTGCACCAGGCTGGGAAGACTGAATCTGCAATAGGTAAGCAGCTTGGTTTGAAGAAATCAACTGTGGGAGCAATTATTAGGAAATGGAAGACATACAAGACCACTGATAATCTCCCTCGATCTGGGGCTCCACGCAAGATCTCACCCTGTGGGGTCAAAATGATCACAAGAACGGTGAGCAAAAATCCCAGAACCACACGTGGGGACCTAGTGAATGACCTGCAGAGAGCTGGGACCAAAGTAACAAAGCCTACCATCAGTAACACACTACGCCGCCAGGGACTCAAATCCTGCAGTGCCAGACGTGTCCCCCTGCTTAAGCCAGTACATGTCCAGGCCCGTCTGAAGTTTGCTAGAGTGCATTTGGATGATCCAGAAGAGGATTGGGAGAATGTCATATGGTCAGATGAAACCAAAATAGAACTTTTTGGTAAAAACTCAACTCGTCGTGTTTGGAGGACAAAGAATGCTGAGTTGCATCCAAAGAACACCATACCTACTGTGAAGCATGGGGGTGGAAACATCATGCTTTGGGGCTGTTTTTCTGCAAAGGGACCAGGACGACTGATCCGTGTAAAGGAAAGAATGAATGGGGCCATGTATCGTGAGATTTTGAGTGAAAACCTCCTTCCATCAGCAAGGGCATTGAAGATGAAACGTGGCTGGGTCTTTCAGCATGACAATGATCCCAAACACACCGCCCGGGCAACGAAGGAGTGGCTTCGTAAGGAGCATTTCAAGGTCCTGGAGTGGCCTAGCCAGTCTCCAGATCTCAACCCCATAGAAAATCTTTGGAGGGAGTTGAAAGTCCGTGTTGCCCAGCGACAGCCCCAAAACATCACTGCTCTAGAGGAGATCTGCATGGAGGAATGGGCCAAAATACCAGCAACAGTGTGTGAAAACCTTGTGAAGACTTACAGAAAACATTTGACCTGTGTCATTGCCAACAAAGGGTATATAACAAAGTATTGAGAAACTTTTGTTATTGACCAAATACTTATTTTCCACCATAATTTGCAAATAAATGCATTACAAATCCTACAATGTGATTTTCTGGATATTTTTTTCTCATTTTGTCTGTCATAGTTGACGTGTACATATTATGAAAATTACAGGCCTCTCTCATCTTTTTAAGTGGGAGAATTTGCACAATTGGTGGCTGACTAAATACTTTTTTCCCCCACTGTAGCTAGCGAGGACTCCGTAATGAGAGAGAAATAATGATACAGAAAATACATTAGCCTATAAGATTAAATCAAGTTACGTTTTCTTCAGTTGCATCCCATAAATGAGAGGAAAGAAACGCAAAACGTGCTTACATTTTTACAATTTGTTATGCTCATTTCATATATATTATTAGTCCCTCCTGTCTTATTAAGAGACGGAGTCCAGACAGGCTACTTTAGGAAACTTTCTGAATAGACATAGAGAGAATTAGCGAACTCACACACACATACACACCCTAAAAGGACCCATCAATCAAAGCCACCAGCGCACCTCTGACACACACAAATCACATTTGTCCTTTCCTAAAAACGCATTCAAAACCTAGGCTCACCTTCAAATCTTGGCTGTAGTCCATCAGAAAGTGGGCCTAGGCTACATTATAACATAATGCTAAAATATTATTGCCTAGCAAATGAATTGACATGGAAAGTTTGAAGGCGGGAGAGAGAGACAGCTATAGTATTACTAGAGACGTTGGTTACATAATTATTTTAATTGTATTATATTATCCACGTATGTGCCTTATTCCAGAGGAAGATTAGCACAGGATTCATTTCCTGTAAATCTTCCTTTTTTTTCATTCAATTGAGTCTATGATGGAAGCCTGGAGGTTTTTATTCTAGGCGTGAAGATATTTCAACATCATGTCTAGACGATAAAGGCTACAATGATCACTCGTGCTTGGCTGCCAAACGTATAAGTATCCCCATAGGTCTAATATTTAAATTGAGGAAATGTGATAGTAATCATTATTTTAGTGATCCACATTAGATGTCCCTCCTAATGAAAAGGCTCCCCGTCCTGCTGATGTGAGCTGATGTACAGTGCACTTGCACTTTATGTGTTTATGGATGAGAAAGTAAACTTGCCATTTCCAAAAATCAGCTCAGTGGGGAATGGGGATTCCCTGCTTTGCGATCTGTTGCCTATGTCAACAGCCAGGGTTTCATTAAATAGGCCTAGGCACGATACTTTTTTATTGCACATTTAATTAAACTGACGCATTTGGCGATGCCCAACTTCAATTCATTGGTACAAAGCGTATGTCAGGGCTTGCATAGCACAGGAGGTGGTAGCCTAAATTTGCTGTAGTAGGATTAGGCTAGGCCTAATACATAGGCTAGCATACGAATGTCGAATTAATAGCCCAGCCTATGAATTAAGTTCTAATTTACACATCTGTCTTGCCTGTTCCTTTCTTGCACAATTCATGCATCTCCGCTGGCATCTCTACTGGCCTCTCGCGCTTCCATCCTCTGTATTCCTCTTATAGCTCTTGAACCAGTAGCCTAGTCAAATGCGTGTCCCAGACACAAGAAGCACCTTGCTCTTGCTTGCTGGATATAAAATAGGCTACAGCATTCACAATGAACTGCTGGGGAATCCTCTGTTCTCCCCGCATCCAATGTTTATGTTTACAATGAAATGTATTACATCAGAATGCCCAATGTTTCCAATCAAATGTATGAATTAAAGTTAGAACGTTTTCCTATTAGTCTAATTTGCATTAACATTGTGATTGGATGATAGCTGTGAGGGTTATCGAATCAGGATCAAATCCTCTGATTTCCTCGAGTTCATTAATAATAATAATAATATAATATGCCATTTAGCAGACGCTTTTATCCAAAGCGACTTACAGTCATGCGTGCATAAATTTTTTTTGTGTATCTGTGGTCCCGGGGATCGAACCCACTACCTTGGCGTTACAAGCGCCGTGCTCTACCAGCTGAGCTACAGAGGACCACAATGATAGAATGTTCATATTTGAAGATTGCCGAAAGGCCAGTCTCTTTGGCAATGACAAGTAGTGGCAAGGAGTGGAATGTTAGTTAAAGAGAATGGTACTCAGGCTAGGTGTTGGCATAAGGTCGATACAATAATGCGGAAGTGAATCCTGGCCCACTCACCGGATCAACAGGCTTGCTGAGAGCCCAGGTCATCACAGTTGATATGAGGATGAACATCTTTGGCTGACTGAACCTGGCCATCTCAGCATGAAGGGCTGGCGAAACAACAGTGAACTGTGAAGTAGGCATTGATTTCTAGGGTCATGCAATGCATCCATTTCAATTTAATCAATGGTGTGCTATGCAATGTGTAATAATTCCCAGACCAACACAGAGAGATAGTGTAGTGGTGTGTGTGTGTTTGTATTAATAATCAGAGTCAATGAGAGACAAACAGTAGCCTACCTGAGATTGCCCAAGAGGCCTCATCTATCTGGTCAGCATGCTCAGTGATGTTGTAAATTATGATATCACACTCCATCAGGCGCTCCAGGAGTTCTTCCCTTTTCAGTTGCTGAAATCATTCAAACACATAGCACTTGTTTAGGTAACACTTCGTGTTCTTCTTTGATGATAAGATGCAGAGCACCTGGAAAGGAAATGTTGCTACACACATTAGGCTAATGTAACTCACAAAATATTCATCCAACACATAACTTGGTCTTCTTTCGTTTTTGTTTGCAATAGTTCCGACAATTTGAAAGGTTCCCTCTTTGACTTTTGGATGCTCGTCTTTGGATATCCTCTCCTCCTCTTCTTCCACCTCTGGCTCATCAGTCTCCACCAGGGACGCCCCCACTACACAGGCAGACAAGAACTGCACACAGCAGAGAGACATTTTAGGCAGGTATGGTTCTGGTCAACCCAGTCTAACCCATTGCTGTAGCTACTTTCTTTTACATAGCTACGTATACAACCGACACATACTTGTTGTTTTGACATCTTTGAATAGCAAGGGTCAGCACACAGCTAGGCTAACGTTAGCTGGCTAGCAATGGATGAAACACAAGGTTTAGTTCGGAAGCGTAGCTTAATTATTATTTACACAATATGTCAGTTTCAAAAATCCCCACCTTTGCGATACATTTCGAGGCATAGGAGTCAAAGTTGTTGATAAAAACACGCTTGGTGTGATGAACAATCTTCTCAACTCCTTCCTCAGCCATCCTGCGCTCATATGTTGTCTGGGCGTCTCTCCCGTTACTTAGCAACAAGCGTTCGAGGGGTATCGTTTGCCCAAGTTTGCGCAGGTGAAATGTGTTCAACGTTTGACACAAACTTCTTGACAAATATGCAACAACAAAAAAAAGAGTCCGTTTCAAAATACGCCTTCTCTTTAATGTAAACAGTATTAATGGTCATACTTTATTTTTTAAATCTATATTTACATTCATTAGGCAATTATTATTTTATCAGTGCAGACAAAAACTGCTTAATAGAAAAGTAATTCCCACCACAGTAATTCTCAGATCCAAACTGTTGAGTAATTACCCCATATTTTTTGGCAAATACTAGGCATTTAACAATCTTTAAAGCTATCAAGGCTTGCACTTAATATGGTGGATAAATGAAGATGTCTTATTGACAGGTAGCCTAGCGGTTAAGATCGTTGGTCCAGTAACAGAAAGGTCATTGGTATGAATCCCCAAACAGACTAGGTGAAAAATCTGTTGATGTGCCAAATTATGTAAGGCCATTGGGGGGGGGGAGGGGTGGCTCTCCCATAGACACCAATGCAATAGCAGCTGGGTCTGGTCTACTTAGTTCATTGTATATGAACCAGAAAAAAAAGGAGCCAGTGAGATATCTCGCTTCCTCTTCCATCTCTGCTTGCACATTGACACACAATAGAAAGTATGGAATATTTGTGCCAATGTATGATTGTTAATGAAATATCACTGCGTCCAAATTAATCCCTTTAAAAAATATTTGTGGAAATCAAAAAGCCAGCATTTTCTCATTTTACACACAATCACATTTAAGGGATCATAGAGGCATAATTGTGCCAATAAATACATTAATGACCAAGGTTTATTCACCACAAACACACACAGAAAAATGCTCATTTTGCCTCCACAGCAAAGTTGTCAAACTGTGCCAGTTCAAATGAGTGTGTTCCTATGGCAGCCCAGCCATTCTTTGGTCCCAATACCACAGCATCCTTCCATAGCGGATATCCATTCAGCAACCCTGTGGCATACTCCCCCTGAAAAAAGAGCGAGCTTTCTATTTAGTATAGCTAATGTGCCCATAGTCAGACAATATTTGACCCTACCAAGGTCTGGAAATCATTTAAATGAAAAACAAAATTGAAAGAGATGTATTTTGATGATGAAGATGAAGTTTCCCTGGAAATAGTTGTTGTACCGTTTCAGAGATTGAAGTTGTGAACATACCTCGACTGTGAGGGTTAACGTGTGCCAGCCATACGCTCTCGTTCCAGACAGACCCTCTGCCAGTACAGTCTTGCCAACTGTGGAGTAAAAAGACTTGGTATATTGATTTTATCAATGGCTTGTGCATTACAATGATACATAATTTACTGATAAGCAGGCATTTTTAAAACTCAGGTATAAACATTAAGGCGCGGAAACTGATTAAGCCTAGTCCTGGACTAAACAGTTATTTCAAAGGAGATTCTCTTTTGACCATGGTTTTCAGTCCTGGATTAGGCTTAATCTGTGTCGGGGAAACTAGCCCTTACTGTGTGTGTGTCTATGAGTGAAATACTGACCTAGGTCATTGGTGACTTTGTAGGAGCCATCTGCGAACACCCAGAAGAAGACTCCCTTGGCGCTACGGACAGACTGCCCTCCTTTGTCCACTCTGGCTGCGATGAACACTCCTCCAGTCTTCACCGTCTCCATGAAGACATCACACGTCACTGTCAGGTTCTGCCTGGAAAACATACAGTATACAACATTACAAATACACACCGTAAAACTTTCTTGACCTGAAACATTTTCCTTTCCAGGGTAATATTATTATCATTGTGGATTTGAGCAGAGGAGTCTAAGGCTTATTGCTGTAACACTATGTACACAATACACTACAAAGTGCACACTACGGCCCTCCAGGATAAGGGTTGGCGTCGGCCCTGACCAATGCCCTCTCACCATTTATAGTCTCCAATGACGCTGATGGTCTGGTCGGCATCTGTTGCCCAGGTAACAGGCATCTGTGTGACCACCTGACGCAGAGTGAAGACATGAGGACCAGGGTCCGTCAGGTTGATGTAATACTCAAACACCCCCGTCTGGTCAGCAAAGTCTGGGGCCTCAGAGAAGGAAGGGTTGGCTGCAAAGAGAGAGGAGAGAAAAGGGGAGAGCGAGAGAGAGAAAAGGTAGCGAGCGAGAGAAAGAAACAGACAAAAGCATTTATTTAATCATTTAAAAACATTAATTAGAATTTCCGGATCATTTGCAGGTTGCTTTTGGCAGATAAATAGAGTGACATTTCTAGCTTTAAAATGTACTTACCAACATTAAAGTCATCTTTGTAGACTTTAGGGAATGGGCCAGAGGGGGGTGGATCAGGGTAAGTCCCTTTCTGCCCAGTGGTTATGGTGGTTAACGTGTAAACCTCATCAACATCCAGGCTCAAGGTGAACGAACCATCAGAAATCTACCAGAGAGAGAGGGAGGGAGCATGAAACTCATGACAACATCTTCAACCTAAAATCATAAAACCTCTCATAAAAGTTTGTGAGGAGATGTGAAATGTCATGGGGGGAGTAATATCACTTTGTACAACACTCGCTCTAAAAACAAGATCCAAAGACTGAGTGTCATCCTGTCACATGTCAGCTTGTCAAACGCTTTCAGAGTCTGGCGTGCCATATTGCAGAGCTATTTCTGTCAGAGGAGTATGTTTACCTTGAAGGGGCTCAGTTTCTTGAAGAAGAATGGCTTTTTAGTCTTGAAGTCAAACCTTGACTGCCACACCTGTAGTTCCTTGATCGAACCCTAGGACAGAGAAACGCTTACTCAGACAAAGTAGCCTCTCAATCATTAAGTCACCAGAAAAGTCTCAGGGGAACACAACAGTACTCACAAAAGATCCCTTGAGTTGGAATGTTACATTCTGGGCTGTGACGTTGAAGGGCAGGAGTGGAGGTCTGATGCATACAGAATGATCATGAGTCTGAACAACAGAAGAAAAATAAATAAATGTATAAACTAAGGTGATAGCCCGGTAGACAGATCTCTTTGTGTTTATATGATAAGAAATAATAAAGTTGCCTAAAGTGCAAAACAACTCTGGCTACCAGACTAGTATGCGACACCATCCTTGTAGCAACAGAAAGCTAAGTAGAAGTGAACTGCTAGCTCACTAGACTTCCTTTTGCTTTTCTAAAGCTTAGATTGTAGACTCCTGAGAGAGCACAGCTTAGTTTGAAAGCGAAAACCTCATTAGGACATTGTTGACTTTCTGCATTCCAGTCAAAAGCAGACTTAATTACTATAATTGTTTATCCAAATTAGGAACGTGTTCATAGCAGTGTACAATCAACAAGAGAATTAAGCCTTTTACTAACATTAGATGGCATTACTCAGAAAAAATATCCTGGTTAACAGGCATAATATACAGGAAGATAAATACTGACCATGGTTTCTATTACAACAGTGAGGTTTCCTTTACTGTCTGTCAAGGCAACATAACTTCCCCCGTGTACCAGATGCCCAACGGTTTGCAGATAGGTCCATCCAGGCTGGCTAAACTGGGTGGTGTGGGCTAGGATATAATATTACCTCATGTAAATCAATCAATGAAATTATTTTACTTTTTTAAATACTTGTCTAAAATATGTTTATAATGAATCAGGATATGGCAGCTAATGTCAATGCATCACACCTCGAAATTAAATGTGAGCTGGCGATACTTTTGGGGAAGCTTCACATAATGCTGAAGCAGTAATAAACCATTCAAAACAGTGACAAGGTAATCAAACATTATTGTGCTAATCTGTAGCTAGTATGCAAGTTAACTGTACCAATAATGAAACATCTGCAAAACAACAATGTTAGGGTGAACTATCTGTTTAAGTGCTGTGGGTTACCAGTTATCCAGATGGGTGATTCCACCACATAGTTCCCAGTCCAGGGCTCCTCTGCTGTCATTAAGCCGTCTCTCCCAAAGGGAAGGTCCTCATAGTAACTGGCTACCAGGTTCCAGGATATGGTGCTGAAACAATAACCACTCTTTCACAAAAAGGTAACGCTATGTAGCCTAAGGACAACAGGTAACCCTTTTAATGGCAGACAATGGGTCAGTCCCAAATGGCACCCTATTCCCTATATAGGGCACTACTTTTGACCAGGGTCCATAGGGCTCTGGTCATAAGTAGGGCACTATGTAGGGAATAGAGTGCCATTTGGGACGCAAATCATAACTACTATTATATAAGAGTGAGGGTTGTGTGTTTTGGGCACTGCGCTCTATCAGATTCTTATAGCTGCACCTTGTCTCAGGTTACCAACTGGAATTCATGCAGTTTGCTGGTTTTCATCCCAAAGTCACCTGGCCAATGGGGAAAACTCAGAGCAGCTTCAACTTCCCCAACTGCTCAGTTCACTTACCGCGGGAAATAGGGCAATCCTTAAGGTCAATCTCTGTGTTGATCATAGTACTACCCTCTCACCCTTGCGATACTAAGTCTGATTTTAGTAGCCTTGTTTAACCAGCCCAATCTTGCGAACTCACATTCTGTTGTGAAATGAAAAGTGAGCACAGGAGTCAGTCTGGTTCCATGAGGCTATGAGTAGAAATCAGTAACTATGACAGTTAGCTACATACGCAGTCATGAGTCCGTTGACATAGTTCTGGTTGAGGATCCGGGCCCAGCAGCCTCCTCCCACCTCGTCGTTAAAGGTGCTGTAGTCTTCAGACGACCATAGCTTCTTCTGTGTCTTCAGGGCCTCTATCACTGTGGTGGTGCCTGGGTAGTGGGCCCTGTCAGGCCACACAAATGGAATTATAAAAAGTGATGAACACACAAAGGCACACTTTTAAAAAAATTAGCTAAATAAGCGCTGTACATGCAGACTGTAGTTCTGAGGAATAACTTCTGAATAGATGGGAGAAACGCATGCAGTAAATTGAACAGAGGTTGGCTCTTCAAGATGTAACACAGTAGAAACAAAGTAGAAACACTCTCCTACCCTATCACGTCTACTGCTTCAGCCAGCTCTCGATCGACACACACTGAATAGGTTATGGGCTGCCAAAGGTTATCACTGGCTATGATTCTGACCCTCTCCAAACCACTCTTATCCAGAGTGTACCGCAGCAGCTAACCAGTGACAGACAGTCAGAAAGAGAGGCGAGTGAAAAGGTGATCATGTACTGAAGAACCATTCAGGACAGTTGACTACATTACTACATTCACCTTTTACTTTAACATGTGCCAATGCCAAGCAATAAACGTAGCTTTCATACTAGAGTGTGCACATTCTCTATTAGTATGGAATCAACTCCTGATAATGCTGTGGTTTGGGACTGTCATGAATATATGCACTAAATAAGATTATTCAGATATGCAGAAGAATGTAATGAAGAATGTATTTGAATTGGTACTGGTGCACTGAAATTCACTTAAAGTGATACTTTGGGATTTTGGCAATGAAGCCCTTTATCTACTTCCCCAGAGTCAGATGAACTCATGGATACCATTTTTATGTCTCTGCATCCAGTATGATGGAAGTTAGAGTTAGTTGTGTGAGCCAATGCTAACTAGTGTTAGCGCAATGACTGGAAGTCTATGGTATCTACTAGCAGTTACCATAGACTTCCAGTCATTGGGCTAACGCTAATTAGCAATTGCGCTAACGCCAGTTAGCAACTTTCTTCAAACTGCACGCAGAGACATAAAAATAGTATCCACGAGTTCATCTGACTCTGGGGAAGCAGATAAAGTGCATTGTCAAAATCCTGAAGCATCACTTTAAACAAAGTAAACATTTATCAGGAATTGACTGTAATTGTGTTAGACAACTACCTCTCCTGACTGCTCAGGCATTAGAAGAAAAAAAACTGCCACCAACATTCAGCTTTGTCTGACCACAACAGAGAAATCAAAGGTGTCACGCAGACTTCCTTATTGCTTGCCAAGTGTTCTAGAATGGCTGAGTGGTATAACTAACTCGTGACAGAAGCAAACATACCAGATCCAGGGAACTGAAAGACCCATGGAGAACTCATACTCTACTACAGTAAACCCCTGTGTGTTCAGTTCCTCATTCACCTTGACTGGCTTCTGGGTTTAATGATACCACGTTCTTTAACTTGTTACTTTAGTGCAAAAGCATCTGAGAGCATGTTTGTTTAGCATGATCCTTTGCATTTCTAGACTTACAGAATGCTATTGACTACACCACACTTACAGAGAAATACCTGTGACATTAGTCAGCTTCACGTGAGAAATACCATGCCATGGAGGAAACAGAGTGATTTGCTGTGAGCCGGAGTTGTAAGGGCTTTTTTGTGTCACTTCAGAGCAAGCTGTGGTTCATGTTGTCCCTTACTTACCCTAGTACTTCAACAGCGTCGTTGAGGTACGGGTCTACACCCATGGCATTGGAAACATCCCAGTTGCCGTCTGCTGCGATGATGCCCACACCGGTTAGGCCAACTTTATCCAATGTGTCTCGGAGCACCTTAGTAACAAATGATATGCTCTCAGATGCAAACAGCTGATCTTGATCGGATTGTATGAACAATTCTCTGTATCTCTCTCTGCCAATAGCCTATAGACCTAAATCACAGGAGGCTCCTGAGGGGAGGACGGTTCATAATAATAACTGGAATGGAGTGACTGGAATGTATCAACCACATGGAAACCATGTGTTTGATGTGTTGGATACCAGTCCTTTGATACCATTCCATAAATGCCATTACTATGAGCCCGTCCTCCCCAATTAAGGTGCCACTGGCCGCCGGTGACATTAATTAAGTAATGGCTGCAACAGTAAAACCAAATGTTGGAGGCAGTTTTTTGTCTTCAAAGACATTTCACATTGTGTAATGGCTGGTAAAATATGAACAGAAAACATGACAACACCAACCTTGATGTACTTGCTGTTGAAGTTCCGTTCATTCCAAATCTATATAGTTAGAAAACATCAACAGCATAACTTAAAACAGTTAGTGAATACATCATGTTTGTATCCAATTAGAATATTCTCAATACACAACCCACAAAAATGAATTGAATACACACCCCGACATAATCAATATTCAGGTCATGGTACTGTTTGGCTCCTATAATCCACGACACCACGTAGGATGCAGTTATATCAGGGAAGTCATATGGCCAGTTCTTCCCATGTCCAACCCAACCTGGGAAGGCCCATGGCAAGCCTGCAGGAACAAGAGGTAAAATGAACAGGGACTATTGTTAGCGAGAGACCACACCTGACGCTTATCTGTCGAATCGTCGCAGATATTTCCAACTGTCTGTGTTCTAGTTTGACACAGAAATGAATGGGTATGGCAGCAATGAAAGGGTCTACTGCTCGTTCAGCCTCACCTATTAGAGTGATGTTGGGGTTCCTCTTCTTGGCTTCTCTCATCAGCCACCATTCATACCCTCGGAAGAAGTTCTCATCGTTCTCATAGTGCATGTGAGAGGGTTCCGTTCCATCTAGGGAGAAAAAATGTACTCTTCAGCTAACATTACATTCGTAACTCAAAGCCACTCTCTGCATGTGACATACTTGATAAACACAAAGTATGCTGCGCAAATGGCACCCTATTCACAATATAGTCCTGGTCAAAAGTAGTGCACTATAAAGTACATTTTCCATGTTTACCTGTGGTTTGGGCGTCACCTCCAATCTCCACTTTCAGGATGTGTAGAGAAGCCCCAAAGTTTGGCTGCAGACAGCAAATAAAAGTTACATACTGTTATGGATCTCACACCTAGATAAGATTACTGGCTGGCTACCTTGCATTAAATAAGATAAGAGGAATCAGACCTAACATAAGAATGTAAACAGTTGTAACAGCTACCTTGAAGAGGTAGTCCAATATCTGGCTGCGGTAGGGTTCTGCATAATTGACAAGTAGACGAGATGTTGCCTAAAACGAACAGGGAAAGGTGGTAGAAAGTGGCAAAACGATTTAGATTGCAACGCACTCTTGTTTCATTGATCGCTTCACAGTACAGGCGAACCAGGAAGTAGCTACTAGCCTAGTATTAGCAGCTTGGATTCATTACATACCCCTCCACCACTCAAACCTCCAATGCCGTCAAACGTTCTTCCTAATCCAACTTTATCATCCAAAACGTAGCTCTCGGCAATGCAGATATCAAAACACAAACTAAAACACAATGCGATAGCAAAAGCTAATTTAGAAATCATCCTGACTAATGTTTACAGAAAGTCTGACTGCACAGTTAACGCCGCAAACTCACGAGATATAACCACGCCCCTGTTTAGATCATGTGACACTCACTAGCCATTGGATTTCGAATTTATATATTTTCTTACAGCGATGAGACTGGGTATAAATAACTGTCCCCCCTTTTATCTGTGTTTTTTTTTAGGATATATATTTTTACAAATTATTATAATATAATGTTCCTTGTTTCAGGTCAACATCATAAACAAATTGTGAATGAAACAAGGTAACATAAAACATAACATAACCAACACCAAAACAAGAACATAGAAAACATATAAGAATTAAACATTCTCTTTCAGTTCTCGGCCCTTCATTTTTCATTACTTTAATATTTTTTTCTCATTCATTTTATTAACATTATTATTTTACATACCATTAATAATTTGACTGTTGCAAAATGTGTGGCTGTAGTGTGTAATATACCCCTAACAGAGTATAGAGGCCTATACAATAATATATGTATTTTCTACAAGAAAGCGACCAGGGTCCAGTTGACCAATAAATCTATTGAATTTTTATATTGACACATCTTATGGTATGTGCAAGATTAGAGGGAAGAGAGAGCAAAAAAGGGTCCCATGTTGTATAGAAATCTCCTTCCTTGTTCCTAAATATAGCACTCATTTTCTCCAGTGGTAACACTTTAAAGATCTCACGATACCACTGATTTATTGTTGGTGGCTGGTCTTTTATCCAGTTAAGGAGAATACATTTGCGGGCCACAAAGAGTCATTTTTTAAGAAGATTGAGCTGTGCTAAGGTAAGTGAGGGCGTGTTCCCGACCACACCCAGTACAAATAGCCATGGGTCCATTCTTATATGACATATGAACATGCCCCAGCTCCGTTTTGACATTTTCCCAGAAATGTTTTATTAATGGCCAAGTCCAAAACAGATGGCCATGAGTGCCTTTTTCCTTCTTACACTTACAACAGGTATCAGAGAATTCTGCTTTCATTTTACTTTGCATAATCGTATATTGTATCTTGGGGTTGTATCACTGATGACCGTACCTCAGTGGGCTAGTTACACCTCAAAAACCCGACCCTATGCAACATAAACCTCATCCCCAGGTTATTGTGCACAGCGCATATAATGCTGTGTTTATAACCAAGTGGGAAGGTGTTAATTACCTGTTGTGAAGTCAGAAATTGTTAGATGCATTCACGTTGATGTTCTCCATTTTGCTTTATGACCCCCACAAGTGTCATGGGACCAGGCCCAAAAATGTATTGAAGTGAATGGGGTATTTCCACGTCAAAGGTATACAGATAATTCCAAGGTAAAATTATAATTACATTTCTCAGATATCGGACAGACACTTCAAAACATACTTCCTTTTGCTTTATTTATGGCCTATCTGTTTTTCCATGTATGAATTATTCAATGCATTTCTATAGGCTAGCAGTAAGGCCAAATGCAATGTTTCATCAAATGTTTTTATTTATTTGGCCACCGAAATTGTCCTTAACCAAAACAATATATAGTCATATTAATTTTTATTATTGGACATAAAAGACTGTAAAAACACCAGCAAATCAGCTCCAAGTGATTTTAATTTGGGAAATCTGTTCCAAAGTATTCCCACGCATAATACAGTAATATATGTGATCGTATACAAATGTAAGCAAGGTTTGAAATTATTCTGTTTTAGTCAAGTATTATATCTGTTTGGGCTTCTTGCGGTCAATTTGCAGTCTATAAATTATTTGTAATTATGTTCCGGCCCCCTCACCATCCGCTCAAGAAAGAATTGGCCCAAGGCTGAATCTAGTTGATGATCCCTGCCTTATTCCCAAACTACATAGCTTGTTCAAATAATCACAGCTTGATGATGAGTTGGTTATTTGAATCAGCTGTGTAGTGCTAGGGCAGGTGAAAAACCAAAACACGCACCCAGGGGCGGCACAGGACTGAGTTTGGGAAACCCTGCCTTAGGGGATGACATCTCATGGAGACTTAACATGCTTAGTTTAAGTTTCTCCAGAAAGTGATGTTGCAGGCTAGCTCAGTGCTGCCCCCTCTCATTGAGTAACTCAATTTGAAGGCCGACCGGGGTACTGCAGGCTACAATTAGCAACTAATTTATCCTTAAACTTCTTCTGTGTGCAATTTTAAAATAATCGGTTCAAGGACATACATCTGGTGTATTAGAAGCAGTTATTGTTACCATGGTGGTCTTGTAAATACATGTTTTATTTACACTAAGATTGACCACGAAGATTGCTCTTTTTAATTCACTATAATGGGGGATCCAATTTTCTGCTAACAATGCCTGCAGTACCGCGTTCAGCCTTGAACTTCCTTGGTTTCAATGAGAGGGGACAGTTGTTCTCCCCTGGAGAAGTGGGAGCTCAGGGATAATATGGTTTCCCATCAGTATTTACCAGTTGGAGGGCATCCAGTGGATTTTTCCCAGTCGTATGTGGTAAATACCAACTTCCCACTTGGTTATGAACGCAGCATTAGCCTGGGATATCAAAGATTCAATGTTGACCTTAGTGGGAGTCACCATATAATTATATGGGAGTGATCTACTAAGTAAAGTATTTTTCATCATTTAATTTTAGCGATTCACACGACTGCGAGATATGTGTTGGAAGGTTTAGGAGATGATTGATCAAAAAGTGTTTTTTCCAAATAATGGTCCAAAAATGAATGCACTTTTTTTGCCTCCATCAGCTGACGCCTATGAGGTACACTAGGTCAAAATTGAAAACAGGGAGATTTGATGGGTTGAAATGGGAAAAGTCACTAACGTGGGAATACTTAAGGCAGAGAAAAAGATGGGACGAGAACTCCTTTGAAATATTCAGCTGAAGACTAAACAACATAACTTTAGCTTGATGAAGAGTGAGCATGAAGTAACGTTTGTGATGTTCTTGATATACCTCTCTGTTAATTGGCAGTTGGAGGATGTGCTTTTTGACACGTGAGTGTTCAAAATGCTTGCTTTAGCTAGCTAAAGTTACATTTGTAGCTACTGTTGTTTTTGTTTGTATACTTCAGCGGTGACAACCTAGTCTCGAAAACCCGACCCTAGGCAACCGTGACTAGGCAGGCATGCCAGAACGTCGCAATTCAAAACCGAAGTTTGCAGGCAAAACCTTTGCAGCACTTGATTTTAGTGAAAGTACTTGATGTTAACTAGCTACTTGCGAAATGCACTCATAAAAAAAAAACTCTGATCTCCATCTTGCTAGCTAGCTACTATTTTGTATTTTATTCAAGCGGATAAAGTAGTGACATAGGCTGTGACATAGGTCCACTATTCCAAAAGAGCATCATTGAAACCAGACCCTTAGTATGGCCTGGTGGTAGAAGCTGTCTCTGAGCCTGTTGATCTGAGACTCGATGCTCCGGTACAGTTTGCCAGATAGTAACAGAGTGAGCAGTCCATGGCTCGGGTGACTGGAGTCCTTGACGATCTTCTGGGCCTTGCTGCTCAGACACCGCCTGGTGTAAATGTCCTGTAGGGCTGGAAGCTTTCCACCAGTGATGTACTGGGCCATCCGCACCACCCTCTGTAGAGCCTTGCGGTTGAGGGCGGTGCAGTTGCCGTACCAGGTTGTGATGCAGTCAATCAATCAATCAATCAATCAAATGTATTTATAAAGCCCTTTTTACATCAGCAGATATCACAAAGTGCTATACAGAAACCCAGCCTAAAACCCCAAACAGCAAGCAATGCAGATGTAGAAGCACGGCAGAAACCTAGGAAGAAACCTAGAGAGGAACCAGGCTCTAAGGGTTGGCCAGTCCCCTTCTGGCTGTGCCGGGTGGAGATTATATTACAGTTTTTCTCCATTGGTTTGGCTCATTTCTTGAAACAGAAATTACATTCTCAAAACTACATGGACAAACCTCCAAACCACTTGGCAATTGTTCACAACAGAATTGAATTTGTCATTCATTTCATCAAATTGCAAATGTCTAAGTACATGTCTCAATGTCTCAGTAAATCAAATCAAATCAAATCAAATTTTATTGGTCACATGCGCCGAATACAACAGGTGTAGACATTACAGTGAAATGCTTACTTACAGCCCTTAACCAACAGTGCATTTATTTTAAACAAAAAAGTAAGAATAAAACAACAACAAAAAAGTGTTGAGAAAAAAAGAGCAGAAGTAAAAAATAAAGTGACAGTAGGGAGGCTATATATACAATATAATAAAGTGACAGTAGGGAGGCTATATATACAGGGGGGTACCGTTGCATAGTCAATGTGCGGGGGCACCGGCCAGTTGAGGCAGTTGAGGCAATATGTACATGTGGGTAGAGTTAAAGTGACTATGCATAAATACTTAACAGAGTAGCAGCAGCGTAAAAAGGATGGGGTGGGGGGGCAGTGCAAATAGTCCGGGTAGCCATGATTAGCTGTTCAGGAGTCTTATGGCTTGGGGGTAGAAGCTGTTGAGAAGTCTTTTGGACCTAGACTTGGCACTCCGGTACCGCTTGCCGTGCGGTAGCAGAGAGAACAGTCTATGACTAGGGTGACTGGAGTCTTTGACAATTTTGAGGGCCTTCCTCTGACACCGCCTGGTATAGAGGTCCTGGATGGCAGGGAGCTTTGCCCCAGTGATGTACTGGGCCGTACGCACTACCCTCTGTAGTGCCTTGCGGTCAGAGGCCAAGCAGTTGCCATACCAGGCGGTGATGCAACCAGTCAGGATGCTCTCGATGGTGCAGCTGTAGAATTTTTTGAGGATCTGAGGACCCATGCCAAATCTTTTTAGTCTCCTGAGGGGGAATAGGCTTTGTCGTGCCCTCTTCACGACTGTCTTGGTGTGTTTGGACCATGATAGTTCGTTGGTGATGTGGACACCAAGGAACTTGAAGCTCTCAACCTGTTCCACTACAGCCCCGTCGATGAGAATGGGGGCGTGCTCAGTCCTCTTTTTTTTCCTGTAGTCCACAATCATCTCCTTTGTCTTGGTCACGTTGAGGGAGAGGT